AAAAAATAAAATTAAAAACTCCAAAGAACAAACTATCACCAATAACAAAGTAAAGCAGAGAAAAGCCTCAATGGAAAAAAAGGAAAGAAAAAGCAAAACACTGAAAATGGGTGGGTCAAAAAGGTCAAATGATAAGGTGTTAAATTCTAACCTACCGGCATCTGCAACAATCCACTTCCCAGTGCTCTGCATGACAGCAAGGCCCTTCACATCCCTGGTCCCTGTCAGAGGGGATCCACCAGAGGCTTCATCTACCTGTGTTTCCTCTAAACAACTTTTAAATGGGTCAAAAGGAAGATCAAATGATGAGATAACTGCATTTTAATCTAACTACATCTGCCATAATCAACCTTACTTTCTGATAACAAGGCTATTCAACATACCTAGACTATGGTCAGAGGGGATTCCTTGGAGGCTTAACCCAGGAAATGGATTTTGGGCTTCCACGGTCATCCAGAGCCTTCTGCAGACTCATACCTGAGTGACATCAGTGTACAAACCAGGTCTTTGCCCAGGTTGGTTCCATTCTTCAGCATCTTCTCCCCATGACGGAGCAGTGCTCCCTGCTAGGTCTGTCCAGTGCCCAGGACCCATTGTGCACAAGCCCCAAGGAGGGATGCGTGGACAGAGAGAACCCATCCTGAGAAGCTGACACTGAAGGCTCCATGCCTAGGAAGGCTAAGGTGGTAGGAATTCCGAGGGTGGTTTACAATGCAGGCTGTTAGGACGACTTCAGGGGAGATGTCCTCTGAATTGGATGACCTTAACGAGGGCAAGGACATCCTAAATGAGGGAGCCGGCCAAAGTGGGAGAAGTTAAGCACAGGACGGACGTTTAGTATCCCAGAGGGCGGGTTCTGAGCAGGGACAGCAAGGAGGACGAGGTCAGGTGGAGGAGGAGGATGGCTGGCTGAAGGGTCCTGAGCTCAGTGACCTGGTTCCAGCTGTGATCTGGGAATAATCACCTAGTAGGAGTGGAATAAGGCCTGATTTGTGGAAGGGGGGTTGGGAGATGGGTTACATCTTTGAGGGGACCAAAGAAACTGCGGGTTTAGCTGCAGGGCAGCCAGCTGGGCTCCCAAGTTAGGGCCACAGGAGGGCAGCCAACCTTGCTCACCCTAGCCACAGGCACGGACTCGACTGCCATCTGTAAGTGGCCACCTGCACTGGAGACTCACAGGGTGGGGGCTCCGGGTAGAAAGGCCAGGTTGGGCTCCTACTGCCCCTGCAGTTTGGTGCCCACCCACCACCTAGGATCCCTCCCCTGGATGGGAGGTGTGGCCAGCACAAATGCTGGGCTGCTTCTGTCTCCTGTGAGAACTATGTGACAGAGGACAAGAGCACCCCAATACCTGGACCCCGAGGGTAATCCCAGTGTTATTTTCTGGCCCTCTGCCTCCAAGGACCTCACCTGCTGCAGCAGAGTCCTGGGAGCCCTGATTCAGCAGGGCCTGGACCCCCACTGGGTCAGCTCACCTGGGGGCATTTGGGTCCTGGAACTCTGATCCCCAAATGATCCTATCACAAGATTTATGCCACCAGCACCATGGCCTGAAGTTTTTTGCTTTTTGCTTATACTGTAGTCAGAATGGGAAGTAGCTGTGGGAGTCTCTCCACTTAACTGCCAGACCATTAGCCAGCAACACCTGAGAGCTGGAGATGAAGTTCTGCCTGCACTGCCGTCCAGCTGGCCTGTACCTAACAGTACCGCCTACAGCCCCTCAGCCACCCCGGGGCCACAGTACACATCTGCAAATAGTGTCTATGTTGGGCCACTTCAAAGACGACTTCCACAATAAACAGTGCCACATAGGGACCTGACTTACTACCAGAAGTAACACTCCCTAACCCGGCTCCCAAGCCTCGCGGTGCTCCGTTTGGAGCGTGCACTTCTTACCCTGTTTGCGGCACACACTATTGCTAGAACTCACTATTTTGGCAAATGGAACAGAAGAGGGGCAAAATGAACTCCTGTGCATCGGGCCTTGGTTCCCCTGGGTCCTCAGGGTCTGCACTGGGGGAGATGCAGGTGAGGAGCCTGGGTGTGGCCAGGGCTAGGAGGCATTCCCCCCCCCCCCTTCATTGGATGTTTTAAAACAATTTTTCTTGAGGTCTTTCAATTTCTGGAAAACTGGCAAGTTTTGGAACGTTTAGGTTCTTGGGCATAGGGTATCTGTGTCACCTCGCCAGGCCAGCAGCCCCTGTGGGTTCGTCCGAGGCGACCCCACAGCGAGTTGGGCGCCGGATCCCCACAGGGGCCCTTGTCCGTGGCCTCCTTCCCTCCGTCCCATCGCCGGGGAGATCGCTGCCAGGCCGGGCTCCGCGGAATGACCGCGGCGAAGGGCAGGTGCCGGGTTCCGGTGACTCCGCGGGCTGCACGGAGGCCGGGAAGGGTGGGCCGCGGCGCCCACCAAAGGTCCCTGGACACGGGTAGGGGGTGAGGTTCCGGGTCTGGACCGCGCCGTGGGGCGGGCTCGGAGGGACGTGGGCTTCGGGGCAGGGGTCGC